GAAGAATTGTTGGATTTCTTTTCATGTTGTCATGTTTATGTTTTTGATCGATAAATACCGTTTCGTATACCGTCTGCTAAAGTGACTGAATGTCCATCTGGCTGTTCTGTGCGACCTTTTGAATCCTCTGCAAATACCAAACGCAGAAATTTTATTTTAGAATTCCAAAAACTTTCACTTACCACGAGATGGCAGTGCAAGTCAAACCAAAAAGCACTGAAGAAAAATGTAAGATTTTGTCACTTCACTGTTGCTCACTGTAAGTGGCCTCCTCTCTCCCTTCTTTCTGGCTACTAATTATGTCAGTATTATATTTTGCATCAGTGATGCTGTTGTGGCAGCAGTTTAATGCAAAGAAGTCACAACTATACATAAATTATCCTAAAAATATGAACAATCTTGAAGATGAATTACTTTTTATTAAGCCCAACTTTTCACAATAAATAAAATGTGCAAAAGTCGATATAACATCAAATAAAGTAATCTATACTTCGACTGAGAAGAAAGCACCCATGGCACAACTGGAGTTCCCTGATGAGTGTGTCTTTTACTTTTGCTTTCTCATGGTTTCAAATTTGTCCCTCTCTTGTCTGTTTTAAATGCAAAACTTTAAAGACTACTGTTCTGCTGAGCTCCTGAGAAACAAAACTTACTTTTTAAATCCAACATTTAAAAAAGATCTATACTGTTTCTAGAAAATACTTTGTCTACCCTTTCTTATAGTCATTTAGTATTTAAGACATCACTTCGAAATGGTCATTTCAAAAATAAATCTCTTTAATGATTAGGGATTATTACAGGCGGGAAGCAACAGTTTAACCATCAGAGAGAAAAAAAACAAAACAAAATTAAGTGCGCATGAAAGGTTCAGATATATTGACGTTTTTGGTACAATATAGATATTGCTTATCCATGTGTGTGACGTCAGTCGCATAAGGAAAACGTGAAGTGCTAAAACAAGTCCCCACAACAAAATGATTACTAAAGAAATTGAAAGGTCAAAGTTCATTGGAAAGAAAGATGTGCTTCATAAGCTGCCTTATAAGGAAATGTTATGTTAGAATCACTCCGCCAAGGGCTTAACTTAAATGAAGTGGATTTGGGGGTTTTATTTTAGGAACCACTTTGCCTCTTCTTGTCACATTACACATGGCTTTACGTCCTGATAGACGCTTTGATGATGATGATGATGATGATGATGGAGCTGATGATAATAAGATCCACTGGTGTTGGGATGAAGGTTTAAAACGAATTCCTTCCTGTCACACACGGGAGCTGAGTGGCTGGAATATCGAGACAATCCCACTGTAAACAAACAGGATACAAGAGGTCAAGTAGTCATTTCTTTGGTCAAGCCGTAGATTTATACAAGCACGCAACCAAACAAAGAAAGAAAGAAAAAAGAAAAGAAAAAGTGCCACAACTTTAGAGCATTTCCTTTTAGACAATTTTAGACCTAAAATTGGTTGGCGCTACTTTTGAACAACATTTCTTTCTTCTTGTCTTTCTTTTTTTCTTTTTGCTTTTAAATTAAAGTTCTCATATTTTCCATAGCTGCCTTTATCCTTTAACAAAGGATATAAGAGCAGTTCATGTTTACACTGTTAGGCAGTTGATGATGCAAATTCTAGTGGATTCCTTACTCTAACTAACATCCTAAAGTCACAAATCGTAATAAAACAACAGATTTTTCCCATTGCAAACAATAAAGAATTAAACGCATTTTGAGACAGATTCTGACGATCAAGTCTGCTGATTTTCCTAATTTTATATTTCTAAAAAGAACTACTTGTGTATATACATATATATATATATATATATATATATATATATATATATATATACATACATACATATATATTAATGAATGTTTTTCATTGTATACAAATGTGCCTTTTAGCGTATGTTAACAAAAAAAAAAAACGTGTTTACAGACTAATCGATAATACAATAAAAGCAGGTTTGACATTTTTAGTGAAGTTAGAATCTGCTTGAAATTTAAAAAAAAAAAAAAAGGTTTGTTTTCATAATTAACAGTTTTAATGAGCTGCTGTGTATTTGTGTATTTAGACCTACATTTGTGTAACACAGGGACCTGTGAAAAGGCTTCTATGCAGACGCTATGGCATGGTAATAAAATGTGAAGAAACAATGATAGCAATAAATCAGTCAAATGAAACACAAGCCACGATTGAACACCAATATTTTGATGCGTGATAAAAAAAAAATATCAAAAAATATTTTATAGCCTTAAAAACTACTTTTCTGTTCATCTTGCTGCTTTTCAATTTTAATTTTAAATATATTACAAATTGATATGGTTTGTGTATAGATTTTTAAATAAACCTGTTCGCATAAAAATACATTGTGAAATCTTGATTTTTCTATGTATTTTTTATGTAAGTGAAACATGGAAATCAGTTTTTTTGTTTTGTTTTTTTGTTTTTTAAAAAGAGCGTTGACTGTGATAGATAAATGACCAGTTATTCACGGCCTCAAGTAACTCACTGTGGTAAGTAGAGAATATAAAACAGTGTAGGTAATAAAATGCATACCTGAAATGTCAGAATCTCGTGCATTATGGTGCAAATAGCCCTGATCCAGCGCGTAAGACGTCATTCCCGCGTGTACCGCTGAGGAATTTGGACTGCTTGATCTCACCGACTGCTGTTTGATGTACGATGACACACCAGGTGTACTCCAATGTGAAGCTGCATTTGCATATGGAGACTGACAGTCCAAAGTGCCTATCATCGCTGGGGAGGACTGCAGGGGGCTGCTGCTGCTGTCGGGGCAATAGTCTGAGTTAGAGGCCACCTGACATGCGGCCATATATGACGACCCGGAGCTTGATGACATGTGCGGGAGGTGATGTCCTCCCCCGAGTCCATCGAAGCCACCTGGAACTGTATTACCCATTAAATCTAAGTTGTAGCTGTTATGACATGCTAAGGAGCCTGCGGGTGATTGGAAATCAAAGTTCTGGGACAGCATGGATGCACCAAACCCGATCCCATTCATCATCCTGTACATTGGTTTTAAAGCTTGGCATTTCCTCCGGAACCCCCGGGGTCTGCGACGAAACGAGCCCTCCTCAAACATAAACTCACTGCCAGGGTCGATGGTCCAGTAGTGCCCTTTGCCAGGTCTGCCTAGACCTTTGGGTAGTTTTATAAAGCACTCGTTCAGAGACAGGTTATGTCTGACAGAATTTTTCCATCCCTGGTATGATCCCCTGAAGAAAGGGAATCTGGCCTGGAGAAACTGATATATTTCGCTTAAAGTAAGCCTTTTAGTTGGCGAGCTTTGAATAGCCATCACAATTAAGGCAATGTATGAGTAGGGAGGCTTTTCGGGGCGCCTCAAGCCGGAGTTTCCCTTTTTCCCTTTAGCTGATTCATTATGCGCGCTCTCCATCACTGGCTGTGGGCTCAGCACAGATGCACTTAGAGCACCGGCCGCTGGACTTGCGCGCAGAGGACTGGGTAGATCCAGATGTTGCTGGGAATTCTCAGTCGTCATAGCCGTGCCTCTTTCTGGTTTCATACAACATGCAACTCTCTTTTCCTGTATTTTAAGCACCGTTAAAGGCTTCCTAACGCAGAATTCACGGAGGTCAGTGTCCCGTTGCGATGCTCGGTAAGATTATAACCGTGAAAATCAAGAAACGCAGGCGCTGAGCCTCCTTCCTCTCTCTCTGCCCATCGCTGGCAATAATCCCATCAGAGAGGGGAAATAAAGCTCCTAGACTTTGCTTGCGCATATCCACCCGGCCAAACACAACTCGACCACCTATCAGTACTTAAATCTCTCTCTGCCCCTCTATTCCCCCAAATCCCTCCAAGAAATCGCCAGGAACTACTCCCTCCCCATCTGGCAAGTATCCAGCCTAGAAGCCGGACACTACACACTGGAGTAAGACAAATCTCCTCCCACGACTCACTTTCCAAAACGCTTCTGTCCACATTTGACAAACCGGTATTTGTCACGACATCATGATGAATGAAGTCTCAGAGTTCGATTAAGATCAAATTATTTCCTTTTACCTCCCTTTACAGCAAACACTGAAGGTGCCCAATTGCAGCTTTAGACTGTAAAGCTGTGCGGGAGAAGCACCGACTCCTGATTTGGTTGGGATCTGTTCAGGGTTAAGGGCTCTGACATGAGAGGCCAGAGCATGTTTTTTCCATCAGAGCGTGCCAACATACCACACACAGCGCCCAAGTGTCAGTTTACCTCTCGGAGCCTGGATTACATCCCCGGAGAAATGAAAGTAGCCACTCTAACAAAAGTCTTTGGAAGGATTCAGATGATAAAATATGAACATGTCGCTATGCAAAGTTCATTTCTTCTGTGAAATGTTTAGAGCAAGTCGAGTGGCTTAAGACGTGAAATAATGTCACCATCAGTGAAGTTAAAAGCACAATCTGCGCAGGCTGTTACCAACACGAAACTCGTGCGTCCAGGATGCACAGCTGCTTTAGAGGAAATTTACTTTCTAGTGTCAGATGAATAGCACAAACTGGAATACCCTTCTTTCTGCTCTGAATTTGAGTTGAGCTCGCATTTGTATAAACCCTTTCCTGAGTATGTGTGGTGACTGAGGCGACAGCTATTTGCAGCGCCAGACAGAAAACATAAATATTGGATGCCCCTATCCGGCAGCAGCGAGCTTCATGAACATGAAAAAGTAAATACTACTATATGATATTTCTTTTGGCAGCATGAAGCAGAAAGAAAAAGGGAAAGAAGAACAATACCAAGTTTATTATTATTATTATTATTATTATTATTATTATTATTATTATACAAATATTGGGCAATGCAAGATTTAGAAAATAGTTTCGAGGAGGCGTCAGACGAATACGCCCTCGTGAATAGTGCGTTCTATAATTGCAATGGCAGTTAACTATGCTTTTATGAAGGATCTATAATTCCAGTTATAGGTAGGCCACAACAACAGGAAACAGATATCAGCACAACTTTTTTTATTATTAATTTCACATTTCTCAAAATAAAAAGACATAAAAACAGTCAAAGTGCATATTTTTAACAGGTTTGTTAAAGAAATAAAGTTAATGCTCTGCTCGGTAACATTTCTAACAGAGTGTGAAATTTCAAGTTTGAAAACGCTTTAAGGATAAACTACTACAAAAATAAAAGGGAACCACCATCCCGCCACAGTTATGTCAGATTAAACTAGCGACTAGCTCAATGTGATGATTTTGAGTCACCGAACAGCAAGTCCACATTTCTTTGTGATATTGCAAATTGTCTATGAAAGAAACCCACCACCATAGGGGGTTGATACATGCTGGGCACTGGAGTCCACATGGCAGGGTGACTTAACATATAGATATGAGGCAGGTGTGTTTGAATGATAGGTCATTAGTTCAGTGTAGTAGGGCCAGGGGAAGGCAGGAAAGGGAGGCAAACGTTCGTTATTTAAGTCTCTCTTGAACGGCTTACTGAGGATGCTGTCAATAGCGAATGAACTGGTAAACTTGGGACAGGAATCAGTCTTGGTGCTCGGGGCAGACTGGTGAATGAGCTGCGGCTCCTCTGTGTGCTCGGGCTCCTCTTGTTCCCTGCTGAATTTTTTGTTAATGCGCTTTCTTCTGCGCCGGAATACCCCGTCAGCAAATGTGTATTCGCTGTGAGGATTGAGCATCCAGTAATTGTCCTTTCCCCAGGGTCTGGAAGGGTCCCGGAGCACTTTGAGAAAACAATCATTAAGAGACAGATTATGACGAACCGAGTTCCTCCAGCCGGTGTAAGTGCCTCTGAAGAACGGAAACTTTTTCATCAGATAGTCGTTTATCTCCGCCAAAGTCAGACGTCCACTGGGTGAGTCCCGGATGGCCATAGCGATTAGAGCGATGTATGAAAACGGGGGCTTGGGTCTACGTGTGTATGGCTTGGACTTGCCGCTGCCGCCGCACGGGGTAACAGGTGGAGGACTGTGGGCCACGCAGTCCCCATCCGACCCCAGCTCCTCTTCAGGAGGGAAAGGAGATCGCCCATGACCCTCAGCATCACTGGACATCTCGAAATGCTTCATGTCATAGTGACTCCCACACAGCACCTCCAGCTTCATTGTTAGTGTGCTGCTCGGTAGAATCTGTCCAGCAATAAACCTCGGAGAGCTCTTTGCGTAAAGTCCGAAGCTTCGTGTGAGTCAAGATGCGGAGAGTCTTGGGCTGTATCCAAAGGAGTGTGTCTTCTTAATCATACCTGCCAGAGCGCCGAAGCCCTTCTCACCTTGGGTCCGTGTTAGCGGCACTTTATAGGCGGCTTACCTCAGACCCAACCCAAGGGGGAGGGGCATGTGAGTTTAAAATATTGAGAATCACAAATACCTTCACATTGCGTTCCAGTGTCTTTAATTAAAAAATCATAATGACCATTTAATATAATATTCCGAACATTCCAACCCACGCCTCATTCAAATCCAGTTTAAAAGTCTCACCTGTGAAATGTTAAGGAACACACATTGGGACTATTTTACCTGAGACAACCAGGGGGCGTATATTTCCTTTGCATTTAAGGTGCGGTGCCTCCAGGTAGTTTTATTTGTCCCATTCAGGAAGCGCCGTAATCACAGCAAGGGCTATCCGTTTTCGTGTGTGTGTGTGTGTGTGTGTGTGTGCGGAATGATTTACTTCATCTTATTTTTTTTAAACAACCGTTTTATGATGAAAACAATCAACTGCACAATCTTTCCATGCTGGTGTGTAATATTTAAACAACACTCGGGTCTCTGTGCCAGCACTCGTCACACATTCACCTGCTTTCGAGATGTCTCATATCAAAGCTCAGTGTTTAGGTGTGAACTTTAATGTCATGCCAATTTACCAGCCCACATGGAAACTTGTGTTATTGTGTTTTTGTCACTTAAACAGTGCATCCTGTCCTTCCTGTTGCCCAGAATTCACCTAACAGATGATCATTAATTTTCTGTTTTTGGTAATTGCGCTGAGGTTTTGGAAGGCTTTAGAAATGTCTAAGTCTTGCAATTTCAGCCTGAGGAAATTGCAGCACAATTGCACCAGGTGTATCAATTGAATCATGGAGATAGGACCAAACAAGACAAATTGTTGATTTCTATGTGAACTTTATATTGTACTCTTATTGGATGATGCCAGTCATCTTCTCTCAGCTACTCCCCCAGGTCAAACTCTGACTTCTGCTGAACAACCCATCTTTGTGCAACATGCCTCCCGGAAAAAGATGCAACCAATTGCCATGACAGGCTGTGCAGCCACACTGTCATCACATAAACAGAAAAAAAATATATATCCTTGTATAACCACCTGGAACTCGGTGTTGACATTACCCTCATGCTGTCACTGTGCCAAGTACAAAATTATTCAACTGCTGTTTATGCAAACTGTGCATTCTGTAAGTGTTTGTAGAAGGTAGGCCGAGCATGTTTGTGCTGGTGTGAATGTTTTGATTTTCAGGTAATAATCTGTTTGCGTTGAGTGTGACACAGAACCTGTAGTGAAGTCACTACTTTGAATGGTGACATGTCAAGGATGGAATTCTGTAAGCTAACCACACAATGACAGCAACTCACATACCATGTATTCACTCTGCTCAGTGCATGTAGTAGCTTGTGACGCCATGTCTCAATGTGTATATACATGGTGATATGTGTATAAAGCTTTAAATCATTTATTATGGCTTTATAATAAGATAATTTTAAAAAAGTATACAATATCACAAGTGGAGTAATTAAAAGTTACATACGAAATCATAGATACATATTTATGTGTGTAACTGTTTCTTATGAAGGAAAGACTGTAAATATTCATTTGATAGTATGGTGTACTTAAAGCCAGTATACTAATGAGCAGTTATAGTAATTCTATGCTACTCCAATATTTCTAAAGGCATGTGTGTGCAGTGTTCATACTTAAACAACATATAATTTTGTAAAAATACACAATAATGCAATAATTTTAAATGGTCTATTTTAAGATGATTAGATAATAAATCTGTTTTATAAGATTCTTCTTTGTGTGTTTGTGAGTTTAGAATCTAAAATTAAATGCATGTAGTGTGAAATATAAATGAATTGCATGAAATTTTATTTATGGTTTTAAAGCCGTTAAACCTGCAAAGCTATAAAATTGAAAAACCTCCAAAGAATGAAGAATGAAGAATGCTTTTCTCTGAACAGCACAGTAATGATAACATTGTTCGCAAGCGTGTTCGTTGAGCAACGGAGACACACTGGCCGTGAAAGCACCATCTTCGTCAGAACGTCAACGTTTACTGCCAGCATGGCCCTGATGTTGTTGTTGAAACATAACCTGTTGATATGCTGGAATGAGGAACACGGTAAAGTACATAGCCAGACACTTAGTGACTAATGCCCTGATGGTTGTGAATACTGTGCAGTGATTCACTGGCACCATTTTCAGTTCCAAAACATTCAAGAATTCCAAACTTTTGCCAAAATAATAAAAATGCATGCCAAGATTTTTCAATTCAGTACAATAAAGTCACGCCTATTCACAAGCATGTCGTCGTTTCATGACAACCCATTTAAGGTAGAGCATACCTGTGTAGCACATGCGATCACTCACAGACTTCATGTGACTCACGAAACAGTCACAACCCAATGATTTTCCAAAGAATCGTTTGTTTAATTGTTTGTCAAGGAAAATAGTTTCCCACTCATTTGTCAGTGAGCACACGGAAGAAGTTAAATAGTTTTAGTTGACTGTACGATTAAAAGACAAAACAGCACATGAAGGGCAACAAATGTGTTGTGACAGTAGATTTAACAGCTATGTTGAGCGCTGCTCATTTCTCAGCGATACACCTGCTTCATTTTGCTCAAGCTGCTGAGTCACTAAGAGCTTTTGATTTTAAACTAAAAAACAATGCACCCTAGTATAAAAAAGACACGAGACAATGAAATAATAATAATGGATTGCATTTATACAGTATATTTATATTTTTAGACACTCAAAGCGCTTTACAATTCCACTATTCATTCACTCTCACATTGACACACTGGTGGAAGCAAACCACAGTTGTAGCCACAGCTGCCCTGGGGCAGACTGA